CCTATATAATAAAAGAATAATATGCAAATTGACCCTAACAGTGGAATGACCAAAAATGACTGGTCGCTATGATGCGCACTGACCACTAGGGGACAGACGCTCAACACAGAAGCTGCCCCCTGGTGGTCAGTGCATTTTCACAAGGGGAGCACACCACTCAGCCAGAAGCCGACTCATGGCTGGCCAGCACAGTGGCGGTGGTGGGAGCCTCTCCTACCTCTGCAGCAGCACTAAGGATGTCTGACTAGTTAGACATCCTAAGCTGTTAGTCAGACATTCCCCAAGGGCTCCTGGGCTGCCAGAGGGATGTCTGACTGCAAGCCTAGGCCCAATCCCCTGGGGACCAAGCCTAAGCTGGCTGATGGACATTCCCCAAGGGCTCCTGTACTGCAAGAGGGTGCAGGCCAGGCTGAAGGACTCCCCCACCCCCGAGTGCACAAATTTTCATGCACCGGACCTTTAGTAAGTATATAAGTTAGTTTATCTTTTCTTGTCCGCCTAACCCCACATTGAATTATGTCAGTCGGTTTCATGCCTCCAAGCTTCAGGTCTTATTTTTTTTTTTAATTAAAGCTTTATTGTTCAGATTATTACATTAGTTCCTCTTTTTTCCCCCATAACTCCCCTCCTCCCAGTTCAGGCCCCACCCTCCGCCCTCACTCCCCACCCACTGTCCTCATCCATAGGTGCACGATTTTTGTCCAGTCTCTTCCCGCATCTCCCACACCCCTTTCCCCCACAAGAATAGTCAGTCCATTCCCTTTCTATGTCCCTGATTCTATTATAATCACCAGATTATTTATTCACTTGATTCTTAGATTCACTAGTTGATAGATACATATTTGTTGTTCATAATTTGTATCTTTACCTTTTTCTTCTTCTTCCTCTTCTTAAAGGATACCTTTCAGCATTTCATATAATACTGGTTTGGTGGTGATGAACTCCTTTAGCTTTTCCTTATCTGTGAAGCTCTTTATCTGACCTTCAGTTCTGAATGATAGCTTTGCTGGATAAAGTAATCTTGGTTGTAGGTTCTTGGTATTCATCACTTTGAATATTTCTTGCCACTCCCTCCTGGCCTGCAACGTTTCTGTTGAGAAATCAGCTGACAGTCGTATGGGTATTCCCTTGTAGGTAACTGGGTTTCTTTCTCTTGCTGCTTTTAAGATTCTCTCTTTGTCTTTTGCTCTTGGCATTTTAATGATGATGTGTCTTGGTGTGGTCCTCTTTGGATTCCTTTTGTTTGGGGTTCTCTGCGCTTCCTGGACCTGTAAGTCTATTTCTTTCACCAGGTGGGGGAAGTTTTCTGTCATTATTTCTTCAAATAGGTTTTCAATATCTTGCTCTCTCTCATCTTCTGGCACCCCTATAATTCTGATGTTGGTACGCTTGAAGCTGTCCCAGAGGCTCCTTACACTATCTTCGTATTTTCGGATTCTTTTTTCATTTTGCTTTTCCAGTTGGGTGTTTTTTGCTTCTTCACGTTTCGAATCTTTGACTTGATTCTTGCGCTCCTCTGGTCTGCTGTTGGGTGTCTGTATAATATTCTTTATTTCAGTCAGTGTATGCTTAATTTCTAGTTGGTTCTTTATCACAACATCGAGGGTCTCATTAGATTTCTTGAGGATCTCACTACATTTATCGATGGTCTCACCAGTCTTTTCGAGGGCCTTACTAAGTTTATCGGCGGCTTCTAGACAGTTCTTGAGAGACCTTAAAAGTGTGGTTTTGAGCTCTATATCTTCCATTTCTGATATTTGCTTCCTGTTTCTTTGTCTCCGCATTTTTTTATCTTTTCTTGGTGCACCCCCTAGTGGTCTTTGTGCGCAGTCTTGTTGTAAGTAAGCCTTGATTGTTGTCGGCAATACCAGGGGTGATTTGACCTCCAGGCTAACTCAGGTCTTATTTTGTTGGTCAATTAATTTTGTTCATTAGATTCCACAAATAAGTGAGATCATGTGACATTTGTCTTTCTCAGATTGGCTTATTTCACTTAGCATAATATTCTCCATCGTTGTGGTTTAATTCGAATTTATCTGATGGTTAGTAATGTTGAGCAACCTTTCATATATCACTTGGCCATCTGTGTGTCCTCCTTGGAGAAGTGTCTATTTAGGTCCTTTGCCCATTACTTAATTGTAGAACTGTATACCTGATTATTATAAAATGTTATTATCCATTATAACCCAATAATTAAAAAAAGAGAAATATCACCATGATATTGTCATAAAAACATGTCAATGGTATAGAATTGAGAGCCTGAAAATAAGCACATATGTATATGGGAAAATAATTTTCAACAAAAAAGCCAAAGAATTAAAATTTAAAAAAGACATCCTCTTCAATAAGTAGCCTTGAGAAAGTTGGAAACTCTCATGCAAAAGAATAAAACTAGACTACACTTTGTCCCTATGTACAAAAATTAACTTAAGGTGGATTAAATATGAATGGTATTTAAATGCCCATTGAAATGTTATATGTTGATTCCCTTATTTTTTCAGTCATATTTCTCTTCACTGTCTCCTTAAAGGTTTAATTTAATGACTTACTTAAATTTTTTGTTTACATAATTTATTTCTAGTTTGTTTTATCAGAAAAGATTCAATAGCTATATGATAGAAAACAGACTTTAGTGATAGAACATTAGTCTAGAAGGGGATTTTGGAAAAAAGGTGAAAACAATTAAGAATTCTTTTTTTGCCCTAACTGGTTTGGCTCAGTGGATAGAGCATTGGCCTGTGAACTGAAGGGTCCCAGGTTTGATTCCAGTCAGGAGCATGTACCTTGGTTGCGGGCACATCCCCGGTGGGGGGTGTGCAGGAGGCAGCTGATCGATGTTTCTTTCTCATTGATGTTTCTGACTCTCTATCCCTCTCCCTTCCTCTCTGTAAAAAGTCAATAAAATATATTTTTTAAAAAAGAATTCTTTTTTGTTGTTTAATTGAAAGTTTGTAATTCTCTAAAGGAATAGTAATAAGGCTAATTTGCTAATTGGATGAAATAATTATCTATATTTATATAATGCATTACTTGACATTTAATTTTCATGGGACTGGATCAAAAGTGCAGATGGAATAATTATGAAAGTAAGAATTCAACAGGTAGAAGAATTTCAGTTGATATCAACCACTGTGAAGAATATTACAGTTTAGGAAAGACAATGACGTTCATGCTTGTATGAAGAGCAACAGGGTAGGGTGTGTAGTTGGATCTGGGTTGATGCTGCATGTGCAGTATTTTGTATTATTTTTGTAATTCTACACTTTGTAAACCCTGGTCTTTCAAAAGGAGCTAAGAGCTATCCTCTTGCCCAGAAAGAGATACTATATCTACCTTTGTGGCTGTTTGTTATACCAACCTTATTGAATATATTCCAGAATTGAGGCTATCAGTTAGAAGATGCTAAATATTCTATCATTTCACTTATATAAAATGTCTAGAATGTTCAAATCTTGTATAGAGAAAACATATTAGTAATTGCCTAGGACTAGGAAAGGAGGGAAATAGAATTGATTGCTAATTGGTATAGTTTCTTTTTTAGGGTGATGAAATGTTTTATCTTTAGAATAGAGGCCCGTTGCATGAAATTCATGCACTCAGGGGGGTCCCTCAGCCCGGCCTGCGCCCTCTCGTAGTTCAGGAGCCCTCGGGGGATGTCCGACTGCTGTGGAGGTGGGAGAGGCTCCAGCCACTGCCGCTGCACTCACCAGCCGTGAGCCTGACTTCTGGCTGAGCAGCGCTTCCCCTGTGGGAGTGCACTGACCACCAGGGGGCAGCTCCTCTGTTGAGTGTCTGCCCCCTGGTGGTCAATGTGCTTCATAGCTACTGGTTGTTCCCCCATTCAGTCAATTTGCATATTAGCCTTTTATTATATAGGATAGTGGTATTGTTTGTAAAACTCTGTAATTATCCTGAAAAATCACCAAACGTGTACTTTAAAAGGATGTTTTATGGGTGTGAATTATATATCAATAAACAACAAAATCTTGGTTCGTGTTTGAGACCTATGTTTGTAAGAGACTGTGTTTGCAGGTTAAACACAGAGATAAAATAGAATGGGTTACACTTACTAAAGTAGCAGGGCTTTGAACAGCTGAAAAAGCATATGAGCTAAATTAAAGTTGTCATTAATTATGAAGAAGTATTTTTCAGGTTAAATAGGAAAAATTGGGGAGATAATATTATGATTGGGAAATTTACCACTTATAACAAATGCATATAAATATTCTTCCAAATATTATGCCATTAATAATATAGTACAAACAGATAATATGGACAAAAGTATTTTTTTCTGCTTCAGCATCCTCAGCTTAATTTTAGGACAGAATATGGAGTGTTACAGAAAGAAGTGAATTCACTTATGTCTCATATGCTTTTAGAATAAACAAAGTTCAGAGTAGACTTTATAAAATTGGGAGTGTTTTCTTGTGGGAAGACAAGCTGAGGGGAGGAGTTTTCTCAAAAAGGTAACTTTCCATCCTTTTAAAAAATTTTTCCTTAATTTATTCAGCACATAATTATTAAGACATTGCAAGATATCAGGTACTGTTTGGGACAATTCTGAGAACAAAACAGACATAAATCCATATATGTATGGGGTTTGTATTTTAGGTTTAGTGTAGTATATTGCCAATTGTTAGTGAACGTTTTCTTTTTGAAGGATAACAATTATAAGTTGGAGTACATGTAGGTGCTTAGTGTAAGCTTATGTATATTAGAGCAAACACTTTTAAAGTAAAAGGACATTCTGACTTAATGAAGTCTACTCTGATCATTAAATTTTCTAAAGAATAGGTAGAATTAGATATTGTATTTCAATATTCTCTAAACCAGATGTGGAATTATGTCATAATCCGTGGTCTATATTTAGATGCTTATATTTACATTTTCAATGAATGTTAAATTTTACAGGATCTTGTTTACTACTATTTGGTTTGGATATTAACCTTTACTGTACTTATTATTTAAGAGAAGGAGGTTGGATTGCTGCCACTCCAAGAATGGAGACAGCAGTGGAAGTGCCTCATGAAGAAAACAGAGATGGAGGTTCAGCTTTTCCAGACGAAATCCTTCCTGACTACAAAGACTATATACAATTTCCAATAAGCATTTTATTCTTAACTCTTCTCTATTGTGGTGAAGCTGCCTCTGCTTTGTATCTATTTGATGTTTATCGAAAGAATAATGATATATTCTGGATGTCATTCACCATTGGCTTTCTTCTTGTGGGAGTAGTTTTGGATCAAGCTGTCCTTTTGCTTTTCCAGAAAGACTTGATCAGACATAAATTTTTGTTTGTTGGGCACATTTTGCTTCTAGGTCCTGTGGTGAGGTAAGTGATATTAAATATATTTCATTCATTTACTGTTTCTAAAAGATCCAAAGTAAAATGTAGACTAATATGCATGTGGATGCACTAATTGATTCTTTAACAAAATTGCTTATATTTTAGTTTTGTTTAGTTTTCTTAACTTGAAACTATTGGTATAAGGTGGTCATCAATTTTAAGACAATGAGAGTTTTGAATAATACAAAATGAAATATAAATTGTTTCTTCTGTTCTTCTAATGAATGTATCACATTCAGTTTTATTATTTACCTCCTTAAGCCAATTATGAATGTTATTTTAAGTAATTATGAGAAATAGAGATATAACATTATGTTGCAGGGTGAGAACAGAATGAGAAAGACAGATACACTTTAAGAAACAATGTCATATATTTTCCTTGTAAATTTATTAGTTGCAGATTATCAAGACACTCTATAAATTGAATCTGAAACTTGGATTACTTATATGCATTTAAACAATTCATTTCCATTGTCACTCCTACTTTATCATGCCGATTTGCATGAGAACTATGTGTTTTATAGGAATTAATTTCTCTAGTTCTGCACTTAGGGTTTTAGGTAGAAAAACCCATAGAAAGATAATTTAAGTTATACTGAAATATCCTTCATACCATAATTTTTTCCCCCCCGTGGGAACCGTTTTATTCTTTAAACTATGGGCATATATAACTTTGATACAAGAATAGAAACAAAAACTAAAAGTGTGAAAAGAAAGAGTGGGACTGGCTTTTAGAGCTCTGCATATTTGGAATCCCACTTTAGCACTTACCATACTAAAATTAGCTTCCTTGACCTCTCTGAGCCCATATGTTTTCATCTGTAAAATCAGAAAAATCCATACCATAAATTTAATCCTAGGAACAGCAAATTAAATTATTTGGATTTGTTCCCTTGAGCTAATTTAAGTTTTATTCACTGTATTTCTTGAAGAAAAAGGACTTATTCATATACTACAGAAAAGGAAAAACATGTTAACTACAAAATTTATAAATACAGAAAACCCAGATAATGTTGGCAGCAAAAACCTTTTGAAAAATATAGTTTTCAAACAATATTATATTAGTTTCAGGTGCATAATATAATATATATATCTTATGAGGTGATTACCCTGATAACTCGAGTGCCCATATGACATGATAAAGTTATTATAGTATTACTAACTTCATTCCCTAAACAATACATTCATATAGCATATAAAAATGTTTTGCACAAATTCATGAAGTGAAATCGGTTAATGTTTATATAGGTTTTATTTATTTTTATTTTTTGCAGTTTTTTGGCAGTATTAATTTTATTTTTTAAAATCTTTATTGTTGAAAGTATTACATATGTACCTTTTTCTCCCCCATTGACCCCCTCTAGCCTCCCCTACTACCCGCCCCAGGCCTTCACCATTATTTATGCATATGTGCATACAAGTTCTTTAGTTGATCACCTTCCACTCACCCACCCTCCTTTACCTTCCTCCCCAGATTCTACACTCTGTTCCATTCTTCCATGTCTCTGGATTCACTCCCTTCATTAGTTTATTTTGTTAATTAGATTCCACATAAGATTGAGATCATCTGATACTTATCTTTCTCTGACTGGCTATTTGACTTAGCATAATACTTTCTAGGTCCCTCCATGCTGTCTCAAAGGGTAAGAGGTCCTTATGTTTTACTGCTGCATAGTATTCCATGGTATGAATATACCACAGCTTTTTTATTCAATGGTCTACTGATGGGCACTTGGGCTGTTTCCAGATCTTAGCTATGGTAAATTGTGCTGTTATTAACATAGGGGTGCATGCATGCTTTCTGATCGGTGTTTCGGGTTTCTTAGGATATATTCCTAGAAGTGGGATCACTAGATCAAATGGGAGTTCCATTTTTAATTTTTTGAGGAAACTTCATACTGTTTTCCACAGTGGTTGCATCAGTCTGCATTCCCACCAGCAGTGTACAAGAGTTCCCTTTTCTCCACATCCTTGCCAGCACTTGTCGTTTGTTCATTTGTTGATGATAGCCAGTCTGACAGGTGTGAGATGGTACCTTATTGTTGTTTTGATTTGCTTTTTTCTGATGGTCAGTGACTTTGAGCATTTTTTATATGTCTCTTGGCTTTCTGTATGTCCAGTTTGGAGAAATGTCTATTTATGTCTTTTTGTCCATTTCCTAATTGGATTGTTTGTCTTCCTTTTGTTAAATTGTATGTGTTCCTTATACATTTTGGATATTAACCCTCTATCAGCTGTATCATTGCCAAATAAGTTCTCCCATACAGTGGGCTCTCTTTTGGTTTTGTTGATGATTTCTTTTGCTGTACAGCAGCTTTTTATTTTGAGGTAGCCTCATTTGTTTATTTTCTCCTTAGTTTCCTTTGCCCTAGGAGATGTATCTGAACATATTGCTAAATGAGATGTCTGAGATTATACTTCCTTTTACTCCTCTAAGATTTTTATGGTTTCCCATCTTACATTTAAGTCCTTTATCCATTTTGAGTTTATTCTGTGTATGGTGTAAGTCGGTATTCTAGTTTCATTTTTCTGCATGTATTTGTCCAATTTTTCCAACACAGTTTATTGAAGAGACTGTCTTTACTCTGTTGTTTGTCAAATATTAACTGAGTTAATGGCTTGGGGCAATTTCTGGGGTCTCTGTTCTGTTCCATTGATCTATATGCCTGTACTTGTGCCTGTACTAGGCTGTTTTGAGAACAGTGGCTTTGTAATACAGCTTGATATCTGGTTTTGTGATTGCTCCAACTTTATTTTTATTTCTCAAGATTGCTTTGCTGCATCTATTCAGTCTTTTTAAATTTTATATGAGTTTTTGGATTATTCTAGATCTGTGAAATATGCTGGTGGTATTTTAATAGGGATTGCATTGAATCTGTAGATTGACTTGGATAGTATGGACATTTTAATGATGTTAATTCTACCAATCCATGAATATAGTATATTCTTTCACTTGTTTATATCTTCCTCTATCTCTGTTTAAATGTTCATAGTTTTCTGAGTAAAGGTCTTTTACTGCCTTGGTTAAGTTTATTCCTAAGTATCTCAAGTTTTTTGTTGTTATGGTAAATGGGATTATTTGTTTAGTTTCTCTTTCTGAGAGTTCATTATTGGTGTATAAAAATTTCTTAGATTTCTGGGTGTTAACTTTGTATCCTGCTACATTGCTGAATTTGTTTATTAAGTCTAGTAGTTCTTTGGTGGAGTTCTTAGGGTTTTTCATGTACAATATCATGTCATCTGTTAATGACAGTTTTACTTCCTCCTTTCCAACTTGGATGCCTTTTATTTCTTCCCTTTGTCTAATCGCTGTGGCTAGGACTTCCAGTACTATGTTGAATAAGAGTGGTGAAAGCAGACATCCCTGTCTTGTTCCTGTTCTTAGAGAAAATGATTTTAAATTTTGCCTATTGAGTATGATGCTCCTTGTAGATTTGTCATATATGGCCTTTATCACGTTGAGATATGTTCCCTCTATTCTCATTTTGCTGAGAGATTTTATAAAAAATGGGTGTTGGATATTGTTGAATGCTTTTTCCGAATGTATTTTTATTATAATTTGATATTTGTCTTTCAATTTTTTAATGTGATGTACCATGTTTATTGATTTACCAACATTGTACCAGCCTTGCATCCCTGGAATAAATCCCGTTTGGTCTTGGAATATGATCTTTTTAATATATTGCTGGACCCAATTTGCTAATATTTTATTAAGGATTTTAACATCTATGTACATCGGGGATATTGGCCTGTAATTTTCTATCTTTGTAGTGTCTTTATCTGGTTTTGGGATTAGGGTAATGTAGGCCTCATAAAAAGAGCTTGGACATGTTCCTTCCTCTTTGATTTTTGCAATAGTTTGCAGAGTGTAAGAGTTAGTTATTCTTTGAATGTTTGGTGAAACTCTCCTGTGAAGCTATCTGGATCAGAGCTTTTGATTGCTGGGAGTTTTGTTGTTGTTGTTGTTTACTGCTTCAATTTCATCAGTTGGTATTGACCAATTCAGGTTTTCTGATTCTTCTTGATATAATTTTGGGAGATTGTATTTTTTTCTAGGAATTTGTCCATTTCATCGATATTGTCTAGCTTGTTGACATAAAAATAGTTCATAGTATTTTCTTACAATCTTTGTATTTTTGTGGTGTCAGTGGTTACTTCACCTCTTTCATTTCTGATTTTGTTTTTTTGGGTCCTATGTCTTTGTTTCTTGATGAGTCTGGCTAACAGTTCATAATCTTGCATATCTTTTCAAATAACTAGCTCTTGGTTTCATTGATTTTTAAAAAAATCTTTATATCATTTATTTCTGCTCCAATCTTTATTATTTCCTTCCTCCTTTCTCTGGGATTATCTTATGGTTCTGTTTCTAATTTTTTAAGTTGTAGTGTTAAATTTTTTTAAATTAATTTTTCTTGCTTTGTGAGGTATGCGTGTGGTGCTATGAACTTTCCTCTCAGGATTGCTTTTGGGAATTGTATTGTGTTTATTTTCATTTGTTTCCAGGAAGTTTTTTTTTTCTTCTTCTTTTTTTTGTGTTTTGTTTTCTTCTTTTTAAAAAAATTTTGTTTTAATTTTTTTTATTTATTATTTATTTTTATTTTTTTGTCCCCCCCCCCCCAGGAAGTTTTTTTTATTTATTTCTTGATATCATTGACAACTCATTCATTGTTTAATAACATGATATATAGCCCCCATGTGTTTGAATGTTTGGGGGTGTTTTTACTGTAGTTGATTTGTAATTTTATTCCACTGTGATCTGAGAAGATGTTTGATATGATTTCAGTCTTTTTGACTTGTAGAGACTTGTTTTGTGTCCTAACATGTGGTCTATTTTTATGAGTGACCCATGTGCACTTGAGAAGACTGTGTATTTAGCAGCTTTGGGATGAAATGTCTATAATATCAATGAAATCCATCTAATCCAGTATGTCTTTTAGAGTCACCTTTTACTTGTTAGATTTTTTTGCCTGAAAGATTCATCCAGT